ACGACATCGAAATAAGAATGCAATAACGTGTTTGTTCAGCACTAACATTCTGCTAAAGAAATATGACATATCTTCTTACAACCCTAAACTTACATTAACAGTACATGTTCTCGACGGGATTTTTACATGCATACATGCAGAACATGTAACATGCAAATTCGAAAAGGGAGTACTTTGCTTTAACTATAGTTTCCATTGCTTGTTGTGACTTTTGATTTTGTTTTTCTATTTTGAATAAAATTAATTCATCCATGTATAAAGAATACCAACGTAATTATTATGTTTTGTTTAATATGTGTGAGTGAATTGGGTTTGATGCCGCTTTGAAAAGTATTTCAGTCATATCACTGCGTGTCAGTTAATGTGATAGGAAAGCCCTTAGTGGTGCAGGTCTCAGACGTTTACCTCTTTAGTAAAAGCAACGAGTACTGGTATAGTGCTGACAAACCTAGAAACATAATCGAGGCGAACCGGGATTCGAACCCAAAATCATAGGTTTCTGGCGAGCCCAAGGGACGCAACTGCATAGTAGCTTAGACGACTGGGTCACATGTGCCACTTTTCTGTTATAACAACTAACACGGGGCAACAGCATGGGTGACCCCATACTTGGTCAGGTTTTCTTGACAAATACATGTACATGGAGTCAGTGCTTACTGTTGTATCCCATGGACATAACCAGATTTGTTGTGTGAGAAAAGACATCATGAATATTATTTCTCAAGATTTGGAGCAAGGATAAATCAACTTATTCTCCCCATCTCCATATCGTGGTATTGACTGGGTTTCTGTCTACCAGACGAGTGGATAGGCTAGGACCGATTTCTCGTAAGCTGCGACTGGACGACAGTAAACATATCATCTATTGGTCAATAGAATCGATTGAAAACCGATAAAGATTAATTATACAGTAAATTTGCTATCTCAAAAATTAACATTGTCAGAGATGTTTGTTATTATTTTTACCCAACCCGTGAGGACCCATTGTAGAATAGGCTGTAGAGGCGACAATGCTTGTCGTAAGAGGCGACTAACGGGATCGATTGGTCAGGCTCGCTGACTTGGTTCATGCATGTCATCGTATCCCAATTGCGTGGATCGATGCTCCTTATATTAATCACTGAATTGTCTGGTCCAGACTCGATTATTTACAGACCGCCGTCATATAGCTGAAATATTGCTGAGTGCGGCGTTAAACAACAAACAATACAAATGTTGTTTTTTTATCCATGTTTATTTACACCGAGAAATGAAGGACGCTACGCATGCGTACCTAAAAATGGATATGCCTATGCTTTGGGGCTTAAACAGCGTAAGCTTGCTGTGCGGTCTAACAGGGGACGGTTTAATTGTAGTCCTCGGGTTATACCTGGTGTCATGACCAGAAGAGCTATTAACAAATAATTGATTTCTTCCCCTACGTTTCCCCACCCTAGGGAACTCATGCAGTTAATGATTTAATGACTATTGATCGCTACTGGACATGGCTAGACAGGTGGTGACAGGTATCAACTAATGGTCTGGTCATCCCTGTTCCCCAGCGGTACATATAGTGCAGGTAATCAATGCAATGATTAGTCTTGTGGGAGACAAGCTTAAGACATCACAGTAAAATGTTAATTAATATAAATAATCAATTAGCAATATCTTGAGTTGTTTTGCTGAATAGAACCGTTATAGCAGATGAGATCGATATATTAATTTGCGCTGTAACATTGTACTGTTTGTTTATGTGTATCTTTGTTTGTTGTCAAACGCCGCACTCCTTTTTCCAGCGTGATCAACAAGCCAGTGATTGATGTTATGAACAACGTCACATGCCGTATGTGGACTGGGGGTTATTCGTACCCAGAATACCAGCATGGGTAATATTCCTCTGGGACTGGCAACAAGAGACTGGAAAAAATAGGTCAGATAACACAACTTGTTTAGTGGCTGTATATACATATAAAGCATGATTCAAACGTTTTTGGGAGCGTTTGGTATATCCCCATTAAACAGATACACTGCCCCTTAAAAGATATCCCTATTTACTGACTATATTGGTGCTATTATTGTAATTGTCTGTTACCCGAAAGACGCTTTGAGAATTATGTATACCAACTTAAAATCATATGGCTTCTAGTTTTATGATTCCGCACCAATAACACCATTTTACCCATTCAAGACGGGTGGATTGCGGCATACACTGAGACAAGACAGGGTCTGTAAGCTTTGGAACTGTTGGGGACGAGTTCCATTATCTCTTTCGATGTGAAGTTCGTCTTCAACAAAGTTTATTGTATATACCAAACATCACCACTGGTATAAAATACCCGCACTAAATTATAGCGTAATACGCCTTCCATAAAACACACTCATGTATAAGAATGTTCTGGAAACAGATCACCTGATGAAAGAGTAAGTAAAGCTAAGTTGACATCAATAAATTCTCTTCCTTATGTGTATCACTTCTAAATGCCTTTCACATACTTATATCTACATATCGATGTATAGATATAGCTCCTGTTCTGCCGTTGGTGGTTTATTGGAATATAAATTAATCTTAATAGCACAGAAAATCCTGGCATGAATGCTAGGCAGAACAATATTTTGCAGGTCGGAAATAATATATTCAGAGTCATGGTCCATGACCCTTCACGATTCTTTGTCCAAGTATGACAGGCGCTAGCTTTACGAGGGGTCCCACTGTTTGTGTGTATGTCAGTTCGAAATACAGAAACATTATCACTAATCCATAATTTGCATAGAAAAAATCAATATGTTAACGTGTTTCTACCTGCTGTTTGGTATATAGCTACGCACAAGCATATTCTCAATGGAGAACATCTATGTTTTCATTGAGTGTTGTTCTTAAGGTGTGCAACCATATAAAACATGGTTACACACACACACACACACACACACACACACACACACACACACACACACACACATACATACATACATACATACATACACACACACTCACACATACATACACACACACACAAACACACACACTCACACATACATACATAAAAACACACAGACATACACACACACACTCACACATACATACATAAAAACACACAGACACACACACACACACACACACACACACACACGAACACACACATACATACATACATACATACATACATACATACATACATACATACATACATACATACATACATACATACACACTCACACATACATACACACACACACAAACACACACACTCACACATACATACATAAAAACACACAGACATACACACACACACTCACACATACATACATAAAAACACACAGACACACACACACACACACGAACACACACATACATACATACATACATACATACATACATACATACATACATACATACATACATACATACATACATACATACATACACACTCACACATACATACACACACACACAAACACACACACTCACACATACATACATACATAAAAACACACAGACATACACACACATACATACATACATACATACATACATACATACATACACACACACACACACACACACACACATACATACATACATACATATATACACACTCACACATACATACACACACACACAAACACACACACTCACACATACATACATAAAAACACACAGACATACACACACACACTCACACATACATACATAAAAACACACAGACACACACACACACACACGAACACACACATACATACATACATACATACATACATACATACATACATACATACATACATACATACATACACACTCACACATACATACACACACACACAAACACACACACTCACACATACATACATACATAAAAACACACAGACATACACACACATACATACATACATACATACATACATACATACATACATACATACACACACACACACATACACACACACACAGACATACATACATACACACTCACACAGACATACATACATACACACACACATACACAAACACACACACAGACATACATACATACATACATACATACATACATACATACATACATACACACTCACATAGACATACATACATACATACATACATACATACATACATACATACATACATACATACACACACACATACACAAACACACACACAGACATACATACATACATATATACACACTCACACAGACATAGATACATACACACACAGAGACATACACACACACATACATACACACTCACACAGACATACATACACACACACAGACGCACACATACATACATATATACATACACACACACACGCACATACATACATACATACATACATACATACATACATACATACATACATACATACATATGTGATACTGAGGAATGACCCATAAACCCATTCAGTACTGAGAGGGTTTTACCGTGTGAATGATGTTGCAATCACGTTCAGTAGTGATCGGGGTGTTTCGGGATGCGTTCGGGTTTTTTTCGACATTTTTTATTGCTGCTTGCTGATGCGAACAGTGTTCTACACATTAATCACAGTCGTTTTTCAAATGCAGCAATGCAGAAACATGTGGGTTTGCAAGACATATCAGCTCTGTCAATCTATTGTTGGAACGACGTCATATGAAATAAAAGCGACAAAATCCATTCCATATTCATAAGAAATATGGATTTGTATCTCAAAAGTTAAAATCATCATAAAATCATCGGTGACCGATTAATTCCGACCATATTACAATTATGTGACAACGATATCGATGGGACTAGCCAATAACCATGAAAAAATAATGATGATCCTCGGTTAGAAATACGGAAAACGCTTTCACCAACATCCGTAACACCTGTTGGTATTGCCTTGACCTGCCACACTACCGCTTCAGTATTACGCTCGGAGCAGCTCAATAAAGTCTGTCCTTACCGCTCAATCCAACTATGTGACTAATTGCAACTAGCATATATTGTCATGGAATACAGTTTATCTTATATCCCCCCATAGTTGACTCAGTACTTTAAAGCCCTTCGAATCCATTGCGAACAAACTCACGCTATCCGCTCACAGTGCATGGTTGAGTGAGTCACGACTCACCCGGGCCATATAAAGCCACCAGCCGAGCACACAGCCACGCGTCAACTGGGCTGCTGTTCACACAGAAATATATAGGACATTCTGAATAGAAGGTAAGTTAAATATAAATGCATGATATTTTGTATTTTGTGATTCGATAAGTATCTGTTATGGCATGAGACTGACTGCACACAAATTTAAACCGATTTCAAACTGGATTTCACATTAAAAGTAAGTGTTTGGTTGTTGCCTGACGCCACACAGCAGTACTCCCGCATACGATAAAAAATAATCGAGTCTTGACCAAACAATCAAGACTAGACAGATTCGTGTTCAACATGTGTTGTATATTTGGAAATACCATGGAACTTTCATTGACAACATCATAATCAGCAGCAGCAGCAGCACCGTCGCCAGCGTTTAATTTCCATAAGACCACTCACTTACAGTTACAGATATATACACGATAAATATGTTGATTGGAGTTTTCATGTTAAACATTTTCTGAATTAAACACATTTTGTTTGTTGTTTAACGCCGCACTAAAACACATTTACGCTGGACGAGTTCGTTGAACTTGTGTATCACAGATATAGTTTTAAATAATCGTAACGCTAACTTCGAAAGTAAAAATCAACACTGTGTCACATTCGTCTTTGCTTTGCACGTTATGTTGAATATGAATCATCTGTGCCACAATCTGTAGTCATGGCAAGGTAGTTTATACATCAGATGTGATATCTTCAAACGATATACATGTATGTTCTAGATAAACCCATTTACGCATCGATTTGTTGTCCCCCGTATCCCATAGTGATGTCCACTAACACTAGCACAGCTTAACCACTGTTGATTCCAACGAACCTGCTCTGACCTTCACTAATATATCTTGTGTTGATGGGTATTGCATGCAAATCGACACTGCGTCAAAACGGCACAACCGAAAACAGCTACATGTCAAACGGCACCAAATTGTCCAAAACTATTGCGTATTAATCAATGTCACGAAATCACAGTTCTCCCTGAGAGACCATTACGTAGACACGGAATAGTTAGGATATACACTCTTCAAAAAAAGAAACGCACAGGTAGTATGTAGTTCATTGAACCTGACTACACAAAAAAATCCGGAATATAAATTGGATATGTGTTATTGGAAAATGTTGGTCGCCTGATATTCGACAAACGGTGCGTCAAAACGCAACCATTGTCGATTTGCAATGTCTTAAACGGCATTGTTTCACACTTGTTCAAAAATGTCATGGAGGAAAACAGTAAAGTAAAATGCACGTGCAAGTTATAGCATTCGTAACTCGTGGTAGTGGCTATAAAAAGGGAAGGATAAGCCAATAATATGTCATTCAATTGTCAACATTTTTCAAGTTCGAAAATGCCGAGACTCAGCGCTGCCAATCGGAACATCGCAATAAAGATAACATATCCAAAGGGAATCGCACGCCACTTCAACGTCCACCATAGCATCATTTGTCGCCTTACCGATACGCACAGTTCAATTCCACTGTAGACCGTCCGAGAACCGGCCGACCACGAGTTACCACCCCTGCACAGGATAGCTACATTCGACTGTTCCACCTACGTCATGGCAATGCCAGAGCTACGAAGACTGCAGGACGCATACCTGGTTTGAGGAGGATATCGGACCAGACTGTCAGGAACCATCTTCGCGAGGCTGGAATCCGACCCAGAAGACCAGTTGTCTTCCCTGTTTTGCAACGCTTCATACCTTCATAATGCCAACATCAACGACTTGCCTTGGTCGTCGAGATCTCCAGGGCCCACTTGCACAAAGCGATCTTAGCGCTACGACTATTGTAAGCCTATGTTAAAGTATGTAAGTTACGATCATCTTAGCGCTAAGATCGGTTTGTGCAAGTGGGCCCAGATCTCAACCCAATCGAGCACCTCCGGGATAAACTCGACCGACATGAACGTCAACGCCAGACCACGCCGCAGACACTCCCACAACTGGCCAATGCGTTACAAGCAGAATGGCGCAGAATTCATTCCGTACACTTATCCAGTCAGTGCCGAGGAGATGCAGAGCCGTGATTGTTGCCCCGAGCGGTCACACGAGATACGCGAGAGTTCAGCGCAACCTTGTGGCCTTATGTGACATGACAATGAACAGTTTTCAATGCCTTTGTACATCGACAACATGTGACTATCGCGCTCAGAATGTCACATTTGTGTCTATGATATTAAATTAAATATATCGACTTTATTAGGTACAATAAATTTGCTAAACATTTAGCTGTGCGTTTCTTTTTTTGAAGAGTGTACATCTTTATTATGTATTAAGTGATGAAAGACAATATTTATCTTTAACTATATGATAGCTACGCGATAAATCGCAAAGAACAACAAAGAACGAAGGGTGGTTTATTTCACGATAAAACATTGTTCTATCATGACGTTATTTCCTGAGATTCGAACAAGTGCTCGCAACTTGATGACGTCGTGAATTGGACGATGTTTTGGGGGTTCTTTGGGGGTTTTTTTATAGAGGAAGTGTCTTGTGAGTTGTTTCCTATATATGTAGCTGGACAGCCTTGATAAACGCAATTGCCGAACGATCGCACACAAAAGTGGGAGAGATATGACAATCGGTATTGGGAGAAAAGATGCCGATAATCGACGGGAACAATTGTGAGAATAACCCCAACCCACCCACCCACTTCACAAATTGTACCCATGTCGGGAATCGAACCCTTGTCTTCGCCGTAACAAGCAAACTCTTTAACCACTAGGCTACCTCACCGCATCCTTTGTGTTGCCGTACAGTTGGAAAACTGCGGCGTCAAACAACACTCATGTTAAGTTATGAAGACACGTGTTGTTTCTGGCATAAGTGAAACTCGTTCATTACCCCCAGGGCAGATATGCTGAGACCAAGGTATAAATTAATGAAATACCTACACACCGGAGACACTGTCTCCACTTGGCCGTGAAATTCTTCGCTCACCAGTCAGTAACGAAGCATGCGGAGGTACGAATTATATACCACCAGTTATCCACCATTAAATATTTCGAATGTGAAAATGATACATCGTTTTCTACAAATACCAGTCCAGACTGTGACCGCATTAAGTATGTTTTGATTGCTCTCTTTGTGTCTGTATATCATTTAATGTCATTCACACACACACACACACACACACACACCCCCCACCCCCCCCCCCCCCCCCCCCCCCTACACTCATCGCAGAAGGCTTAGCGCAAAAAGCAGATAGAAATTCCTATCGCTATGACGGTACCTACTCAAGTGGCGAAACTACCATAGAATAACCTTGGAAGTAGAACGTATTGTAAATTCATTGCCTTATTGACCAGGTTAATGTGAAAGGTAGTTCTTTGTATGTTTAAACATGAGAATTAATGGTTGACTGAATCACAAACAATCCACGACTTTGGGCAACCACGACGGACTGTTGGTGACTTGAAACGACCCTACCAGCATGCCTGGCCATTAACGCATGGTAGTGGCGTTATTCACGCTCTGACGCGCTTCGAACACTTGGTTCAGGTGGATGAATAAATAAACGGGTTTATATTGCGACGTTGTCATGGAGACGGGATAATATCAGCAACAGATTGGGATTGTGTTGGTTGGGCATCTTTTCATGTCATCAGTTCGAATGTATGTGTCCACCTGTACCATACTCAGTATCATGCTTCAGTTACATCACATTGAGGGACCTAGAGAGAGGTGGGTGTGATAGTGTGCACGTGGGGTGGGTGATGCAGGGTGCGAACCCTAACACACCCACCCTATCTCTCTCCCAGCCCCACCCCCAACCCAACACACACCCTTTTTAAAGCCAATTAATCACGTTAACGTATTATAAAACATATACTAGAACCTAAATCCTTCGGTGGAATCTACACGTGTAGCACTAGTTTTGAGTTTAAGTGCCCCAAATCCCCAAACCGCCTCTCCCAAAAGATGTACCTCTGCTTAACATGCTTAATGTGGGAGGATTTGTCAAAGACACACAGGTTCACAGAGCCGCGAAACATAACTATAAATTACTTGATGGACGTAATGTATGACATGACATACATCACCTGCAATACAATCCTGGAATGCGTTCTTGTTAGTGTCGCTCGGCTGAGGATGTAAGTGAAATACTGACCATCATGGCGTAAACAACTCACCCACTTATTCATGCACGTTTACATTGTTGGTATCTTTTTTCTTAAAGAAATAGTTTGTTTTAGAAAATAATGGAAATTGTGCCTTCCCGAGGCAGCATCCGAAAAACATATTCTGTGCTAAGTCTTTATTTGATTATTTATTTGACAAAAGTGTTAAACGTTTGCCTTCCTGAGCCAACCTCCAAAAAAACATATTCCATACAAAGTATTTATTTGATTTTTATATGACAAAAATGTGTAAAAGAAGAAAAACATATTCTATACGAAGTTTTTGTTTGATTATGTATTTGACAAAAGTGTGTTAAAGAAGAAAAATCATATTCCATACAAAGTATTTATTTGATTTTTATATGACAAAGTGTGTAAAAAAAGAAAAACATATTCTATACGAAGTCTATATTTGATTATATACTTCACAGAAGTGTGTTAAAGAAGGAAAACATATTCTATACGAAGTCTATATTTGATTATATACTTCACAAAAGTGTGTTAAAGAAGGAAAACATATTCTATACGAAGTCTATATTTGATTATATACTTCACAAAAGTGTGTAAAAGAAGGAAAACATATTCTATACGAAGTCTATATTTGATTATATACTTCACAAAAGTGTGTAAAAGAAGGAAAACATATTCTATACGAAGTCTATATTTGATTATATACTTCACAAAAGTGTGTAAAAGAAGGAAAACAAATATATTGATATAAAAAGTTACAAAATGTACAACTAGGGAACTTCGCTAAGCAATGTGCGTCTATCTATATCCCCTCCGTAAGGGGAACAGACATTCCTATATTGTGTATTACTAATATAAAGGTCACAGCAAGGTGATATTGTTTATCTAATTAATTACGAGTAGATGGAAATAGCAAATAACTGATTGCATATGTCACTGCGCCCAACGATATCAGTCAGGGTGACAAGTATGAAGCCAA